TTAAATTCATTCCAATTTAATAAAGATTCAACCTTCATTATGCCAGACCTGTGTGGCAAGATGTGTATCTTTATGTGTATGAAAAAACATTTCCAACATCTAGTTGCAAGGCCTGAAATTGATTAGACAAAAGATTGAATTAACATTTTTCCATTCTGAAATATTTTTATTAAAAAACTAAAGTCCATTCCTTACTATCATTCAATTTTTTCAAATATTTTTTAAAAATTCTTGGCTAAAAATTTATAAAGAATCAAATTGAACAAACATGAATATCGAAAAAATAATAAAAAATTTTTTTAAACATACCACAATCAAAACAAATCATCAAAATAAATTTTATAAAAAAAAAATACAACAATTTTCTTTTCTTTTGCAAATGATCATTCCTAATAAATAAAATCAATAATTATTCGTAAAATAAATAATAGTGTTATGGTCCGGTTCCTTGTACCACGGTGATAGTCCAAGGTAGAACCAATAAAGAAGAACTCGAACACGGGTATGGAATAACACAGATATATTACAAACAGGAATATATACAGAGAAGTAGAAAGTGTTAGTATGAACAATCAGGTTTAGTAGAGAGTAGTCTCGACCAGTATCACTATTCCAATGTCTTGCAGTAATTGTCTGAACGCGACTCTGTTTCGGACTGCCTCTGACTCGACTCTTGACTCGACTTGAACTACTGACGATATTTAGAACCCCCCGACTTTGGGCATCACGAGGGCATCATGTGGCTCAAGGCCGGTTTTTGGGATCTCCTGAGGCAGGCTCAAAATAATATGCCCATTGAACCCGTATAAACGGCATTTTAGGGTCGGTTTACCTCCCCAAAAGAGACTCCGCCCTTCGGCGTAGCCTCGTTCGGGTTCCTCCCCCTGAAGGCAGAGAGTTCAACTTAATGAGCAGCCGGTTTAATTTTACTTCAGACTGAACTCCCTGCCTCCTGACTGAGGGGCAGTATTTATTAAGTATGGAATATATTATTATTATTAAATAAATCCCATAATAATAATAAAATATTTAAATCTTTGTATATACCAAAATAGAATTCACTAAATTCTATTCAATATAAACCACACATTTCACTGGTTCTAGTAATTAAGTTGACACAAACATTTACAAAAAAAATTAATATCATCATTTTACCAAGAAAATTCAATTAAAAGGCAGAATTTTATATTAAATTTTTTATTACTTCAAAGCTCCCAAATAAATTAAATCTCTTTAATATCAAATTTGCAATCTGAATGTTCTCACTTTTATGAAAAAAAAATCAAGTAACCAAACAAGATGAAGTTAATGCATATTAATTTATAAAATGAAACATTGTCTTGGAGAAATCAAATTGTATTCCAAACTTCAACAAAACTTCATCATAAAACACATATATAAAATGGAAAGTAAAAATCTGAACACAAGGAAATAAAAAAAATCGATAGTAAAAATAAAAAAATGCAATTTTATAGCAAAATGACCAACAATATATTTTATCTGTAGTTGAAGGCATATAGTTGCGTTCAAAATATATTTAATTGAAGCCATAAAATTGTGTTCAAAATATTTAGATTTCCGCATTAAATAACCCACAGAGGTGTTGATATGCTGCTAAACAAAACCAACAATCCATATTATAGCAAAATGACCAACAATACATTTTATCTGTAGTTGAAGACATACAATTGCGTTCAAAATATATTTTGATAAAGCCATAAAATTGTGTTCAAAATATTTAGATTTCCGCATTAAATAACCCATGGAGGTATTGATATGCAGTTAAACAAAATCAACCACCCATTATTCTTAGAGAAAAATCCTCCCGTCATATCCTGAGGCAAACCACTCTTTTGTTAAATATTCAGAAAATGAATCCATTCGCCTTCATTTAGACATCTTTCATTAGAATATTAAATAATTTAATTCTTATTAAAGGATAATCGTTCCGGCCTCTATATTTGGAAATCAAAACTATTAACTTTAACGATATAACAAATCGTAAATGTTGATTTTAACTGGACTAGCCATTATATAAAAGATCCAAATATTTATAAACTATTAAAATTTCGTTTAAATTATTAGGATGTTCAAAAAATAATGTCCGATGTTAAAATAAACATTTTAATTATGTTTTTGTATATTATTAGGTTGTTATGAAAATAATGATTGATTTTAGAATAAAAAGTGAGAAGTGAAGTACCCACGTATAATCAGACTGTATGGCGCCGGTGTCTGAAAAAAGTTCCGCAGTGGGGACACGAGTCTTAAAGATCAAGGTAGTAGAGAACGTCCATCTGTGAAATGACAATCAACGTCTAGAAACATTAGTCGAACAAAACCTATGTCAAAGCCTCAGAAGAATGTCTCAGAATTTTTTTTTTGCCAGCATTTCAACGATATCGGACCATCTCAAGAGAATTGACAATGTGAAGAAACTCGATTAATGGGTTCCACATGAACTCCATGAAAGGCAAAGAATTTGACGTTTTGAAGCGCGTTTGATGCTGTATCTGCGAAATTGGAATGGTCAATTTATTCATCGAATAGTGTGTTGACATAGTGTTTTTGGTGATGGTTATCGGAAACATAGTACATAAAGAAACAAAGGTATAATGCATATAATATATTTTATTTTAGAGTGACCAATAAGTCCTTTTATATTCAATGTAGAAAAATGTTCACATATAAGGCGGATATTGGTAGTAGTTTGGAGAAAGTCCAGTAGAGTAGTTTTGAAGTCAGGCCGTGCGAGTGATAGTAGCAATATTAGGAATAGCTCAGTGAAAATCTACTGTGTAAAAAAACGGTCCTAAGCACGGGCAGAAATATCATTAGCAGATGACCTCTTAGCTATTTCTTCACAGGTCACGCATAGCTGTTTTCTTTGCGGTAGTCGTTTTTTTTGTTTTGTTTTTGTTATATTTTTTTATGTTTTTATATATAGTCACTCTCGAGACCTTTCATGCTTCTAGCTCAGAGGAGTCAGCTTATATTTTTTTGACCAGGCTCGAAAAATTTGGCGCGAACATTTTTCGATTTAAGTTAACATCAAAAGTCTCTTAATGTAAATTTTTCATTGGCCCAAATTAAAACAGGGTGTTCTTTCATTTTTCTTATTATTTTTTTTTATAAAGGAAGTTAAATTTGAGCTCATGATTTTTGTTTTTTCAGTCATAAATCAGTAAGCTCTGAAAACAAATTTCCAGCGTATTCGGTATCTTCTTCTTCCTCATTTTATTTGTCGGTTGCCTTCTCGTTGATCGAGAGAAGTATATATAGAGAAGCTTAGAGAGAGAGAGAGAGAGAGAAAGAGAGAAAGAAAAGGGTAAGGGTTTCAAAGGAAAGCGCAAGTGACTTATTTTAATTTGACTTCTGATTTTTTGTTTATATTTTTATATTTTATTTTATTTGCTTTTTTTGTTTTTTTATCGTGACTCACTACAAGTGACTTGCGATGAGAAATGGATCCTTTATGACAATTGTCAACGATCGACTCAATCGATTGATGATGACGAAGGATCCAAAACGGATATTTCATCAACAGATTATATTGACTGTCTGGTAGTCCGTCATTGTAATTATTCATCACGGCTTTCTGGAAACTAAGCAGAGCATCACTATCGAAGTTTACTGCCAGCAAATGGATGAAATGCACATTCAATCAAGATGGACATTTTTCCTGGGAAAACACCATATTCTTGAAAGACTGGGCCTCTTTGAGGGAACCTAACCTCATGGAATTCGTACAAATTGCTAAGGATGCAGGTTAAATGGTCGACTCCCGTAATTTTTCCAGTGAATATTGACCCCTGCTATATTATATGGATGGGTATTTTGTATTTGATAAATAATATTGCGAATGAGAAAATGGTACTTTCAAAGGGGAAGAATTTTTCTTTAAAAACAGGCTTCTTGACTGGCGAAGTGGGGGCAGATTGAGCCTTAGTCTTTTAGAATCTTTAGGGGATTTCAGCTCGCTTATCTTTTTTTTTTTTATTTCCCTTTTTTTTTTTCATCTTCCTCTCTCCCTCTTTTTCAGTGAAGACGACCGAGGGGCATCTCATGCATTTCGACTTTTTTTACTTGTTCAAAAGATAGCTCTGGTTGAAATCTTCATTCTGCTGCTGAAGGGAAATGGTGATAAATTTTGGGGTTCTTGACGACTTCCGTCAATTCTCCAGTTTTAATTTTGTCTTCCGCTGTTGCCTGACCAGACGTTGCTGATTCATTTTTTTCTATTTTTAAATTTGTCAGGATTTTGTCTAAAAAGGCAAACCTTCTAACAAATGTCCCGCAGCCCCACAAGCAAAACAAAATGGTCGACGAAAAAATAGAATAATGATATATAGAAAAATCTACCTCACATATTCGATAAAATATTTCCAATAAATCATGGTTTTCGATTTAATACATAATTTGCGATTTCATTATCGCCCGTGGCAATTCGGCCTTAATTTTAATGAAAAATACGTCGAAGAGATCCCTAACAAAAAAGAAATAAGACCAATATGGTCTTCAATAAAATGGGGCATTTTATGTAGAGTCACCTTAATGCCTTTCTCGTAGTATATATATTCCGTCTGATAATGACTATCGAAGAAGATTAGAATACACTACCAGCGATTTAGATTTTCTTCCGTCGGCAATAAGATGCCCTACATTGACTTAATAGATTTTTCTTGTAATAGAATTTATTTATGCAATTTGAATTTATATTTTCAGGGCCTCCTCCAATGGATGTTAAAGTCCCGATATTTGCTTCCGGGTTTGGGGTCCGTTGTTACTAATAGATTGATTGATGTATTCACCGTGTCCAGTACAGACGGCACCGGAATAACACAAATAACATATGGATCAGATGGATGTAAATTTTTTGAAATATTCTGGCCCTTTTATGTTAATAATGGATGGATGGATATAGATGAAAGGGAAAATCAATTTATGGGGAATTAGGAAGAGATTCGATAGATGAACAAGATGTCAGCTAAAACATTTCGTCACCCCAACACAATAGATAGATCGAAAACAATACACGCAATATCAGATGAAGACGAAAAAGGAGAACAATGGATAGAAAGATAATGGGGAGGCAAACAAAAAATGATAGATAAAAAAATCATTTCATGAATGGATGGATGTATTAAAAGATAAAACTGGTAAGAGAAAGAAATAGATAGATAGATAGATAGATAGATAGATAGATGTAAATAGATATAGAACAGATTCATAGATAGATAGATAGATAGATAGATAGATAGATAGATAGATAGATAGACTTCATAGATAGATAGATAGATAGATAGATAGATAGATAGATAGATAGATGAATAGATAGATAGATAGATAGATAGATAGATGATATATAGATAATAGATAATAGACATAGATAGATAGATAGATAGATAGATAGATAGATAGATAGATAGATAGATAGATAAAGACATATGAATAGATAGATAGATAGATGATAGATAGATAGATAGATAGATAGATAGATAGATGAAGACAGATTCATAGATGATAAAATGATAGATAGATAGATAGATAGATAGATAGATAGATGAGACATATTCATAGATAGATAGATAGATAGATAGATATGGATAGATGATAGATAGATAATTATAGATAGATAGATAGATGGATAGATAGATGGAGATGGATAAGCAGATAGATAGTTTCACACATACATACATATATACATAAACATAGATAGATAGATAGATAGATAGATAGATAATGAACAAACGGAGATGGACAGATAGATAAACATATTCACATAGATAAACATACTCAAATAGATACGCACATACATACATATATACATAAACATAGATAGATAGATAGATAGATAGATAGATAGATAGATAGATAAACATACATACATACACACATAAATCTTAACTGTAGTTACCGCTCTTATTTTTTGATAATGTTGCGTTTGGACATAAAATAAATTCAAAATTATTTTGAAAATACTGCGCCTCATTGATCATTTGTAATTAATAAATACAGTTTTAATTTTATCACATGATCTAACCACTACAAATTAACACAGAATATTTTTTAAATTAGATTTATAAATTATTCTAATTAAAAATTTACAAAACTGACAACATTATACATAGAATATTTTTCTCGAAAATTAATAAATTAATAGCTTTTCTAATTAAATAATGTCTTAGTTTTACTGCACTTTTACGATCCAGGGAAGATTTTCTGTTTAACCAAAAGAATGATTTAAATTCTTCCAGGACTTGTCCTTATAATTAATAAAATAATTAAGTATACGTTTTTTACAAATTTCATAAAATCAAATGAGTGGAAAAATAAAATTTTATAAAAAAAACATTAAAAAAATTCCATTCATTTGTGAATAAGTCCTGAAAATTTCTTTAAAATCCGATAATTATTTGGTTTTTGCAAAAAATGTCCAAATCAGTGCGTGTTTCACGCGCAAATTTCCTGTACAAAATCATAGTCCCGCATTGACATCGGTAAAAAAAAAAAAATGATTTTTTAACCAAATTTTCCAAGGTTCTAAAAAGGATAAAAAAAATAATTTTTGCATGAAAAAAATCCTTTGAGCTTTCATCTTAATAACAGCACAATAATTTTGTCGATAAAATTTGGTTTTTATTAATTTTTCATGCATTTCTTTCATTATATATCCACTTCTGTGTCGAATATTTGAAGGTACCTACTTTTAAAAAGTGTTCTCTCGTCACTCGCTTTAAATTTATTTATTTCATGAATTTCTTTCTTTATTTAGTTATGTCAAAATTTCTATCGCGTGTCTCTTAAAAACAGTGACTGGCGCCTACGGCTTGTGTAATTTCGTCTTTCATCTTTGCTTCTCGCTGTTTTTGGCAAAACCCACGATGCCCGTATGTACCCTGCAGTAGACGTCTGAAACGGAAAGAAATCACTGCTGAATAAACAAGGTATTACTGGGCAGTTTCTCTTCTTTTCTTTTTTATCTTGTATCAAAAAAAGTTTTTTGTTTTTTATGTGCCGTGTCCTATATTTCATTTGTATTGATCAAGACTCTCCTTTGTTTCTATCCCTTGTAGCTTCCATTATTTTTTTGTCCCTTTTTTATTTCCACCAGGCCATGTTCTGTCATCCACTAGCTAGGTGCAAAATGGCGTTGATTTTCCCTTGTCTCTTTTCCTCTATTTTCCTGTGAGTATCAGATTCTCCAGGCCCTGCTTTCTCATTACGTGTCCCAGGAAATTCAGCTGCCTCTTCCTGATGTTAAGTATAAGCCTCCTCCTTGTTTGCATCTTCTCTAAGACCTCATTATTGCTCACAAGCACGGTCCATGATATTCTTAGCATCCTTCTGTAGAACCACATCTCCGTCACCCCGAGTCTCTTCTTCATCTTTGAGGGAATCGTTCATCATTCGCTGCTGTAAAGGAGAATAGATGTCACGTAGCAGCACAGTACTCTTTTCTTTGTTAACAAAGAAATCCCCACTATTCACATTATTCGGACTACTGTCCTCATCTTTGTCGCCATATTTATATTATAACGTTTCGGCCGTTGTACGCTCCGGCCTTCTTCAGGTGGTTAGAATGTCGAACTGAACCCTTTATTTCGCTCACTGGGGTAGACTGTTCCACTTCCACGTGCCATGTTTAATGGATGTCAGTTATCTGTTATCTCCTGTTAATTCCCTTCTCCAAGTTCTCCACTGCTTTAACCGGGTATTGAACTCACACTCTTTGGGTCCTGTCACTGGATCAAACTAACGCGTTTATCCACTGTGCCATGTGTCCTTGAGGAAAAGAGTACTGAACCATTAGTCCTCCTATATGGCAATGAATGCTGGACAATCACTTTCAGGGATAGACGAGACCTGAAGCAAAAGAAACAAAAAAGAAAATGTTAACTGAATTTTTTTGTGCAACGTCCATCCTCTATGGATACATGCATGCTTGGATAAAGCCGTTAGTTTGATCAAGTGACAGGATAGCCCGGAACCGAGCCCGTTTGGAGAGGTGTTGTTGCGGTCCTATGTTCCCCAAGGTATCAAGAGGCAAGACAGAATTGGAAATGGGGATGGATCAGCCACACACACAGCAAGCCTGCTTTAAGTGTCAACAGGCAGGCCCCTGACTGAAATCCTCAAGGGAAGCGAAAAGTGGGTCGACTAAGACAGACATGGAAGAACATATTGATATAGAAGTGAATGTTATTAGCACGACATTTATGAGCTGACTATGGGTTGTCATTGAATTGCGTCCATTGGAAAGGTGTTGTTGCGGACTTATGTTCCCCAAGGAATCAAGAGGCATAATAAAAAAAATTATTAATTATTCTAATTAAATCTTTAAATAACGAAAACAATTCTTGTAAGAATTCATTAGTCACAACATTTTTCTCAAGAAATACTGTATATAATATCTTATTCATAAAAGCAATTAAAAGCTTTTCTAATTAAATTTTGTCTTATTGCATCGTTTATTTCATGATTCCAACAGATTTTTGGTAATAGAGGATCCTGTCTTACAAAAACAAAAATTGATGATTTGCATTCTTCAAGGAGTTTCGTTTATGATTTATAAAAACATTAAGCGGTTCAAAAATTAATTTCTCGAAATTTCATTAAATTAAATAAGTGGGGAGTAACAGATATTTAGCAAAATTTTCTGAAAAAAGTAGCATTTCTAAAATAATTTGATTCATTTGTGAATAAATTCCTAAAAGTTTCAATAAAACCCGACGATTATGTGATTTTTGTAAGAATTTCCAAATCAATTTGTTTTTATGAAAAAAGAAATTAAAATTTTATATATATACTAATCATCAAAGGGCATTCAAGAAAACCTTCAACTAATATTTGTGAATATAGTAGAAAAAAGAAGGAACAATTTTGAAAACTGGATGAGGAGGTCACAACAGGAAGAGGAATCATCATGTTATGGACAAGCGTATGGTTGCAAGAAGGAAATACGACAACAGTAGAAATAGATTTACGTGATTTATTTCAGTAGGAACGTGTGGTTTTGAGACAGCTACCTTGTGGTATAGTTCATAGGACGGCTGAAGATCTGGGTTGAAAAAAAATAAGTAGTTCTCGCTGGTTGGCGTGGCGCTACTGCTTGCTGCTGGTCTCAGCCTGACCGTGACAGGTCTTCCCTGGCCTCCTGTTGACTCCTATTGTACTTCCGTATGACACTTTTTTATGATATTTTTTTTATGGCTTAACAGGCTCGAAAAATGACGCGAGTATAATTAGAGGGAAGCATTTTTATTTGTCGAAAAAATAGAAACACTTTAAAAAATATTATTTAATTTTTCGACCGGAAATTATTGTCAGGAAACATATGTAAACGAAGATAATGGTCATTTTGTGACGGGGTTTTGTCCTGTTCACATCCGGCTCTCGCTCTTGAGTATGTTAGTTTATTTGCCTGTAAATCAGCCGAGATATGTCTTATTTTATTTTATAACAATCATTTCAACTTAGAGCTAAAGAATCAATTAGAAAAAGACCAAAACTCAAATTAAAAAGACGTAAAAAGCACCTGAGAGGAGTTTCAAAATGACAGTTCAAACATCAAACAAAAAAAAAACTTGAAAATGAAATCTTATTTGAAAATGTGGAGGCACAGTAACAAACGTTCATAGTACAGAAAGTTAGAATAAAAAAAAAGACTGTCTAGAATAAGTTGGATAATGATTTTTATATATATATATATATATATATATATATATATATATATATATATATATATATATATATTTATAAGAAATTTTTATGTTTAACGTTTTTTTTTATAGATACAAGTATTTAAGCAAAGAACGTTAAACATAAAAATGTCTTTAATAAATAAATTGTCCGATTTTGTTCATTTCTTTTATATATATATATATATATATATATATATATATATATATATATATATATATATATATGAACTTTATTTCAATCCTTCATGAGCTTCTGATCCTTAGCTATGATTAATTAATGATGAACATTTCATTTTCATTTATTATCGATTTCATCACGGTTCTTCTGTTAAGCTTGGAGATTAATTATACAAGCTTATAGTTTATAGTAGAGTCCAATAGTGTTATAAAAACATCGGAGAAATCCGGTAAGATATCTTTAATCATTTCTAAGATACAACAGTTCAAAGCTTCAGCTAACAATTGGACAATTTTGCTGTTACACGATTTGGACAATCTTGCTGTTACACCCGCTTTATGAAACCATGAAGAAAAATATTAATAATTCACAATTTCACTACTATTTAAAGCAATATTTCTTTTATCAAAAGGTATTATATAGCTTTGGAATACGGGTTCATATTTTTTTCTCTACATTTGAAATAACCCTTTGGTTTTTTTAAAGTATTTCTATTTTAGAGAGTTCAAACAGAAGTTTCGTTCCACCAACCATTAGACAAGTTTCTAGGATGAAAAGTAAAAAACAAAAGGTCTTCCCCATATCTCTTGTCCAAAATATACGCAAAATGAGAGTTGATTTGAAAACCCGTCTTTCCTAAATGTACAAAAAATCCCAGCTGATTTTTCCTGATTCTAAAGTAAGTTTAAAATTCTTTCTGTTGCCATTTTCTTTTAGAGTTCTTTCATGCTTACTCGCTCCGTCCATGAAATTCTCAGTATCCTTCTGTAGAACCACGTTTCTGCTGCTCCCAGTTTTCTCCTCATCCGTGGAGAGATTGTCCAACATTCACTGTCATATAAGAAGAGGGATACCATATAGTAATCCGTCACTCTTTTCCTTGTTTCTAAGAATTTTTTCCCGTTTCTTAGCACCTTGCTTAGGTTCTTTCGTTAGTCCAATGCGTACTTCGTATCTCGGTGCCACGTTTTCCATCCTCTGCTAAAACATTTCCCAGATA